CACCCCAGCTTCATTGGCCAAATTCAATTAAAAAACATTTAATCTTTCCTAATAAGATGGAAATGTAATGTGGAAAAAGGAGACAATATTAACAATTGAAATGTACTTTTCCTAATTCATAATTATGCAGTAATTGTAACCGTTAGTTCTGAAAGGTTAGATTAGTTTTTGGATTAGTCTTTTTTGTCCCAGAGGGAAATGTGTGCATGCTTCATGGAGCTACAGTAGCTACATTAGCTGCAGTAACTATAGTACCTACAGTAGCTTCGGTAGCTACAGTAACCATACATTGTGAAAGTAAAAGACTAAATAACTACACAACATTTATAGCCTAGCCTATAGTATAATATAGTATAACATCACTTACCAACAGGGGATAAGCCCTGAACCATGAAAATAACTTAATTTATCTGTTAGTTTTTCTTTTTCTTGAAGCAGCCTTTTGTAAAGCTTGTAAAATGTTAAATATATGGCCTAAGTCACACTCTTGACATAGGCCATTATACTATCAGGGTAGGAACAGCACTAACCTTTCAATAAGGATGTAGGCAATTTGACCAGAGGTGGCCAGCATCAAGAAGAGATGATTTAGGCAAAAAAACATTTTCTCCAAAATATGACTTAGGCCATTAGTTTAGGAAGGTGACGATCTTTAAAATTATTCAGATTGAGCTAACAGGCTTCAAATGTTTAAAGCTAGGTATAGACATAGCATCAGCTAAGGAAAGAACACATCATTATGTAAACCTGAAGTAACTTCATAAGGTTACGATTTCATCTGAAACACATCTGAAAGAGTTGTATCTGTGGAACATCTAAGATCTATGGTCGTATGAAGCCAGTTGACTCAACACGAGAAGAGAGAGACAGGAAATGACACAATGAGGCTTCACATACTAAACACACGCCGGACTACCAGGGAAAAGGGAAAACACAGAATGACATACAGTAGGCTTTTTAACAACTGGTGGTTCTGATGTGGAATGGACACCAAGGGTTTGTAAAAGGGAGTGAACTACCTGTGAAGGCCAGCAGAGGGCAGACCAACCATGAACAACCGCCTTCTAGATGTATACACTCATCGACCCAACACGATGGAGTTACCCTGAAGTGGTGTTCGCAGCATTGTGATACATTCATGCTTTATGAATATTCACAGGTGAACAGCTTTCATTGTTTAACTGAACACAGATGTTCTGTAACTAAGGTGTATCTCAATGGGCAGGGATTACATAAGAATAAGTCTTAAATGTTGAATTTCTTTGTTTGCAGATTATCCCAGAAATTCAACCGGCCCGTATGACTATGCAGAATATTACGCTGGAGCTGGGGAAGACTCCACTCCTTGCAACAATGCTGATTGGGTGGATTTCAGCAAAGTGTTTCTGCCCACTCTCTATAGCTTTGCGTTCGTCCTAGGCTTCTTAGGTAAGAGACTGTGAGTGTGTGAGAGAGAGAGAGAAATATGCCACACACACACACACACACACACACACACACACACACACACACACACACGTTGTACTGTGGTGCTTATGAAGCCCCTTTGAAAGAGAAATGGAACAAGGCCATTACTCTCCAAAGGATGCATGGTGATCTTTCCCCCCCCTCTCTCAAGGCAATGGCCTCGTGGTGTGTGTCCTGCTGAAGCATCGCGACCAGCTCAACTTGACAGACATCTGCCTTTTGAACCTGGCCCTCTCCGACCTGCTCTTCGTCCTCACGCTGCCTTTCTACTCTCACTACGCCAGACTCGCTCAATGGACTTTCGGAGACTTTCTGTGCCGCCTGGCCTCCGGCTCCCACAGCGCTGGGTTCTTCAGCAGCATCTTCTTCATGGTGGTCATGACGCTTGACCGCTACATGGTCATCGTGCACGCTCACAAGGTGGCACGGTATCGCACCGTGAGGACAGGCGTCGCCCTGACCGTGTCCCTCTGGACGCTGAGCCTCTGCATCTCTCTGCCGCACGTCATCTTCACCAAGGTGACACACGAGTCCGATAGGGTGGCTTGTCACGAACCAGAAAGCGACGACTGGAGGCTCTATAAGACCTTCTCGATGCACGTGTTGGGTCTGGTGATCCCTCTGCTGGTGATGATCGTTTGCTACTCGAGGATCCTCCCCATCCTGGTGAACATGAGGAGTGCTAAAAAGCACCGTGCGGTCAAGCTGATCCTCTCCATCGTGATCGCCTTCTTCTTATTCTGGGCCCCGTATAACCTTTCCCTGTTCCTGGAGTTTCTAATGTCTAAAGGGTTCTTGCCAAAGGAATGCAGCGTGAAGGCCAGTGTCGAGCTGTCCATAACGGTGACTGAGTCCTTGGCTTACACTCACTGCTGCCTGAACCCCATCATCTACGCCTTTGTGGGACAGAAGTTCATGAAGCGAGCCCGGCCGCTGCTGAGGGCATGTGTGCCTGGGGTTCTTCTGCCTTCCAGCCGAGACCTCTCAGAGAGCTCATACAGGAAGAGCTCAGTGTCTCGGTCCTCTGAAGTCACCTCCATCATGTGAAAGGTGCAGGGCGGATGGTTTCATGGAGCATGAAGAGTCAACATGTGTTTCAAATGTCCATTTCTGACTGTTTGTAACCAGCAGTGTGACATTTTAATAAACTGCTTGTAAGTTTAAATTGTTTTATTTTTTTAATTGCAATGAAATAATTAGGTTCAACCCCTCAGTGTTAGATGCTTTAGATAGGCATTCTTTTTATTATCATATGTTTTCAACCCAACCTTAGTCTCGACAGCCTGTACCCATGAAGTGTTCGCTGTGATCAGCCTGCAAAGGAAAGACATACATTCATACTGTATGGAAAGCTGTCACTTTGGAAAACTAATGTTCTTCATGACATCAAATTGGTTTGTTTGTTTATTTAAGGGCCAGGGAACATTGATCAACATTGCTGTAAACGTGCCAGTGTTAGCCAGCAGGCTAATTTTCAACTGCTGTCCTTTTGGAAAGATGTTAGAATAACCACAACAAGACTAGAGACATACAAACATAATTAAAAAAGAGTACACTCAGCAACAGACAACACATAGGAACAGACCAACATGCAAACAGACGAACCAGATGGTGGTTAAATGTATGACAGGAGGTGTTATTCCTTATCTGTATTGGTATTGTGTTCCAGTGTTGATGCCCTCACAGAGAAACACTTTACCAAAGGAACTGGACCTAAGAGGGACTACACAGTCCCTCGAGCACTTTATTTAGCATATTTTTGACTTAAAACGTCGTATTTTCAACATTAAATTAGAAAAATAAAGCTTGAGCACTTATGCTGACATTCATACATAATGCCCCGTGCCACTCTACAACCAACCAAACAGTTCCTTAATCTGTCGCTCTATTTAACCTTCCAGATCTCTCTCCATGCATTGCTTGCTGCTGCTACTCTACGTCGCTGCTGCTTGCTGTCCCACCACCACCACCATCACCCCAGCTGCCCCACCACCACCACCTCAGCATCACCCCAGCTTCACCCCAGCTTCCACCTCAGCTTCACCCCAGCTTCACCCCAGCTTCCACCCCAGCTTCCACCTCAGCTTCCACTCCAGCTTCCACCTCCAGCTTCCACCTCAGCTTCCACCCCAGCTTCCACCTCAGCTTCACCCCAGCTTCTACC